ATCTATAAAAATTATTATGTAAGTATAAAAAGTATATAAATAAAAATTAAAATTAATTAAAATAACGAAGATAAAAACATAAATTATAGGTTTTTTAAAATATTAAAGCTATTAAAAATTTTTATATATATAAATTTTTTTTTTACTATGTAGTAGGGGGGGAGGGGTTAGGGAAAGGTGGATAATGTAAAACAGAGAATCAACTTGGTCTCGCCTTAGTATGATCGCATTTACAACTTTCCTCCCAAGTTTCTATTGGCCGTCGGTAAATTGCATTTTTGGACAAGATCGACGATCTCTAATAATGTGATATTTTAATTGCTCTGTTTTTTTTTATTGTTTTTTTTCAAGTATACTAATACTTACTTTTTTTCCGTTGGAATCAGAAATCTGGAAAAGGTAATGCGGTAGGTGCTTTTTTGTATAGTTTTGTTTTTTTTTTCTAAATAAAACTAACACTTCTTGCATGGGTCTTGCTTCACTGGGTCTTCGTTGGGTCTTGCTTCGTCGCGTTTTGTTTATTTGGTCTTGCTTCATTGGGACTTCCTTCGTGGGTCGTACTTATTTCGTTGGTTTTTGCTTCGTTGGGTCTTACTTCATCGGATCTTACTTTGTTAGATCTTAATTTGTTAGGTCTTGCTTTGTTGTGTCTAACTTCATCAGGCCTTGCTCCGTCAGTCTTGCTTCGCTGTGTTTTACTTTGTTCATTGAGTCTTGCTTTGTTGGTCTTGTTTTATCAGGTCTTATGTTTGTCGGGTCTCTATAACTCAATCGTTTAAATAGCTATTAAAATTTATTAATCTATAATTTTCGTCACATTAATAAAAAATAAATTGAAAAATATCTCAACATAGTTTTAAAACTATACTATTTTATAATAATGTTAGGATAGATTAAGATTAGGATCTCATTATGTAATGATATTTAAATAAATAAAATTGTTTTTTAGTGCAGTTTTTATGATATATGTTTTAAAAATTCTTCATTATTCGAATTCATCGAATTTGATTGAATATATTTTGATCAAAGTCATGTTAAAAGTTTTAGCACAGTTTCTATATAATAAACGTTTTAAAAGTTCTCAAACTTTGCTCGAAGTTATCATGGCAACCACCTGATCAAATTCAATAAAATTTTTTTATTCGAATTCTACAGATCTGTAGAATTCAAATAAAAAAGTTTCATAGATTTGGTCGAGTTGTTGCCAAGATACCTTCGATTAAAGTTAAAATTTTGGCGCATTTTTTATTTTAAAAAAATTTAAATCGAAGATATTTCGGAACCTACTCGACCAAATTCTATAAGAATTTTTATTTGTATCCTAGATTTGTAGAATTCGAATAAAAAAATTTCATAGAATTTGGTTAAGTGTGTTCTGTGATATCTTCGATCAAAGTTGTGTTAAAAATTTTCTATATGTTTTAAAAAAAATTCTAAAACTTTGAAGATATCTAAGTATCTACTCAACCAATTTCAATAAAAATTCTTTTAGAAGTTAGTAGAATTTAAGTGCTGAGATATCTTTGATAAAATTTATATTAAAAATTTTAGTGCAGTTTCTGTATTATATAAATTTTTAAATTTTTGATCAAAGATATCTTGGTATCTATTCAACCAAATTCTATAAAATTTTTTATTCTAATTCTAAAGATCTGTATAATTGAAATAAAAAATTTTCATAGAATTTAATCAAGTAAATGTTGAGATATCTTCAATCAAAGTTATATTAAAATTTTTAATACTGTTTCCATATAAGGTTATACAAAATTAATTTTTTGTTTCTTATAATATTAAATTTTAAAAATAATCTGACCAGCAACTAGTTTTTTTTAAATTTTATATATAAAATTTTATAAAATTTTTAAAAAAAAAATTTGAAACCCATCCGGTTATTAAAATATATAAAAAATTTTTCTTTAAAAATTTTCAAAATTTGATCTGGTTAGATTATAAGAAACAATAAATTAAATTTGTATAGTCTACTAGAAGTTTTAAAAAAAAATTTAAAACTTTGATCAAAAATATCTCAGCATCTAAGTAACC